GGTCCTAACTCTAAACTATGAGAGTCTCCATCTTGGAGCACATGGGGCAGAAGATATCAAATTGGGTGCAGGCCTGTCAGGAGGACGCCCCACCTCCTTAAAGGTACAGAAACACACAAGGGATCCCGCACATCCCATTGGCAGCTGAGAAACCCCATGCGTCGCTGCACCAAATCGGTAAAGCAAAACAAACGACAAACGCACTCAACAATTTGTTACCAGTTATACAGTAAGGTGCACACGAAATGGGCTTTGAACAGTAGAACAGTAGAAAGGCATCATGGCACACTCACAAACTAGCATGTAAAACAACTTGTCTCACCACTAAGGACAATGACAGAGGTTTGGATACACGTCTTCTGCAAAGGATGTGTAAGCCGCACTGCCGCGCCAAGGCACCTCTTATAGTGCGGTCCTAACTCTAAACTATGAGAGTCTCCATCTTGGAGCACATGGGGCAGAAGATATCAAATTGGGTGCAGGCCTGTCAGGAGGACGCCCCACCTCCTTAAAGGTACAGAAACACACAAGGGATCCCGCACATCCCATTGGCAGCTGAGAAACCCCATGCGTCGCTGCACCAAATCGGTAAAGCAAAACAAACGACAAACGCACTCAACAATTTGTTACCAGTTATACAGTAAGGTGCACACGAAATGGGCTTTGAACAGTAGAACAGTAGAAAGGCATCATGGCACACTCACAAACTAGCATGTAAAACAACTTGTCTCACCACTAAGGACAATGACAGAGGTTTGGATACACGTCTTGTGCAAAGGATGTGTAAGCCGCACTGCCGCGCCAAGGCACCTCTTATAGTGCGGTCCTAACTCTAACTAAACTATGAGAGTCTCCATCTTATGGAGGCAGAAGATATCAAATTGGGTGCAGGCTTGTCAGGAGGACGCCCCACCTCCTTAAAGGTACAGATCCCTTGTGTGTGTCCTCCTGACAGGCCTGCACCCAATTTGATATCTTCTGCCCCCATGTGCTCCAAGATGGAGACTCTCATAGTTTAGAGTTAGGACCGCACTATAAGAGGTGCCTTGGCGCGGCAGTGCGGCTTACACATCCTTTGCAGAAGACGTGTATCCAAACCTCTGTTATTGTCCTTAGTGGTGAGACAAGTTGTTTTACATGCTGGTTTGAGAGTGTGCCATGATGCCTTTCTACTGTTTTGCCATAACAACAGGACTCCTCCCCTGCAACTTCTACTCTACATAGGCTGCAGAGGAGCGCGAGAGACAAGGCCGCAGAATGCTGGATGTGGAAGTCTTCATCCTGATGGTCAGTCTCTTTATTCAATCAGTGGATAGACACATTCAGATCAGCTTCTCTCTTTCATTTTCAAAGCTTACCTGAAGACATTGAAGAGAGAAGCTGATTGGTTTCCATGGGTATCTTCACTTCCTCTTCTCTGGCTCTTCCATCAAAAGTGTGTCAGTAGCTTCTGCCATAAACATCGGCATAGAGGCCAAGTCATTGGTGCATGAAGCATGAAAAGCGCATGAAAGATTTTTTTTAAATGCATAAAAAAAAGCAGATGCACTAACGTAAGCCTGCCCTCATTCACAGTTGGGGAGCGAACAAAGGAGCGCAAAATCTCTCCGTTTTACGTGTGTTCATGAATTGAGAAAAAAACTCCACCAAATGTGCCAAACATTACATGCACTGACACGCAACACACAAAAACTGCGATGTTAACAGACGCACAAAGCTTGACGCTCCAAAAGATGCATAAGCTCCTTTGCCGTGTTTGACATGCGTTAGATGGCCCATTGAAATTAACAGGGTTCCCTATGTGATGTGTGACAAATGCGAGGTCGCGCTACACAAGTGGGAATGGAGGGCTAAGCCTATTACATTACACATATCATAGTTACATAGTTACATAGTATTTGAGGTTGAATAAAGACATTAGTCCATCAAGTCCAACCTATTAGGATCTCATTCTAGGAGTGAGCACATTAATGTGAACTTTTATTTTATAGTCTATGAGGGAATTTATCAAAACTGAAGCAGACAGAATCTGGGCCACAATAATGCCACAGGTCACCTGCACACCTTACAGCCCTGCAAACATGAAGTAGTGGTGGTGCTTGTAGTGATGTCACAGATGGTGCCGTGCAAAATTTCAAAGTGTTGATACTATTCTGACTCGGATTGTTGTATTAGCGATTTATCCCTTGCTAAGACCTCTATGACTGGCCAGTATAAGCAAATATAATCACTGCAGACTTATCAGATAGCTGAACTCACCAAATACCTTTTCATCCACGTGGATCTTTATTGAATGCAGCAGGTTACGGCAGACAAAAGGATGCAACAGATGATTGAAAAGGGTGGAAATACCGGCAGTGCAGCCGGTGCGGCAACCCCGGGGGCCCCAAGCGCGTGGCCTGACCTTTGTACTCTGTGTCACGCCCTGACCTCTGCACTGTGCCTCACCCCCTGACCTCAGCACTGTGCGTCACGCCCTGACCTCTGTACTCTGCACCACACCCTGACCTCTGTACTCTGTGTCACGCCCTGACCTCTGTAATCTGCATCACGCCCTGACCTCTGTACTCTACGCCACACCCTGACCTCTGTACTCTGCGTCACGCCCTGACCTCTGCACTCTACATCGTACCCTGACCTCTGTGTCACACCCTGACCTCTGTACTCTGAGTCATACACTGACCTCTACACTGTCCCTCACGCCCTGACCTCTGCACTCTGCATCACGCCCTGACCTATGTACTCTGCATTACACGGCTGACGTCTGCACTTCTGTGTCACACCGCTGAGCTCTGTACTCTGCGTTACACCCCTGACCTCTGTACTCTGCGTTATACAGCTGACCTCTGCACTTTGCATTACACCGCTGACCTCTGTACTCTGCTTTATACTTCTGCACTCTGCGTTATACCGCTGACCTCTGCCCTCTGCATTACACCACTGACCTCTGTACTCTGCGTTATACCGCTGCACTCTGCGTTACACCTCTGGCCTGTGCACTCTGCCTTACAACTGACCTCTGCAGCTTGGAAATTAAATTTTTCAAATTGATTCAGCTGTGTTAGGTCCTGCACAGCAGCCTTCTGTGGAACCACCTGGCACCTGCTTATAATGCTTTTGCCGCCCGCACATCTCCCCTTCCTGAGACCCTCTGTACCCCTTTGGAGGCCCTCCGCACCCCTCCTGAGACCCTCTGCACAAGACTTCATTCCAACAGAGTATGTACCAAATTCATATACTATTATTCTGCATTGCTTTATGATGTATTGCTGGGATTTGTAGTCCTCTATAAATGATGGCATTCTGCATTAGAATGTAAGCTCCTCTGTACAGAGACTGATGTGACTGGCTCAGTGTTCTCTGTACAGCACTGCGGTATATGTCAGAGCTATATAAATGTATAATAATAGTGTGTGACTGTGGGGGGACATTAGAGTGTAAGCTCTTTTAGTGCAGAGACAGCTGGGGGAGTTGGGGGGCCAGTGAGATCCAGTTCCGGCATCCCCCCTTGGGAGCAGGAAGGGGGGGGGGCCCTGAGAGAAAATCTTGCACCAGGGCCCTTTGTTCCTTAGGTCGGCCACTGTATTGAAATGACGGTATTTGCAGGTCAAAAGATGATTATGTTTCCCCCCAATGCCAGCAGATTAACATGTGGCCATGTCATAAGCAACCATTTTGATGCCACAAGATCAACTTCTGAGAAGAAGGGAGGTACATAACACACAAGGGGAGGGAATACTGAAAACATGGTGCAGTACCCCAAATGCCCACAAGATGGCAGTATAATAACCAGCTATACTGCTAATATTAATGAACTATAGCATTTGCACTTGACATTAATATGAAGATTCCCCATGACTATGCATTGTGTCATACAACTGATGTAACAGCACATATACAATAAATCACCAGCACACACAGGATATAGCTGCAATCTTCTTCATGTACTTTATTAAAACGTCACATCATGCCATATATGCTAACGTTCTGGGGCCACGCAGGGACCCTTCATCAGAGCGGAAACAATGACCTGTCACTGTGCTGCTCTGATGAAGGGTCCCTGCGTGGCCCCGAAACATTAGCATATATGGCATAATGTAACGTTTTAGGCTCCATTCACACATAGCAGTTTGACATTCAGCGTGGCTTTACGCGCGTTTGTCACAAAAAACACGCACATTTTAACAAACGCAAGATTTCTGCATGTTTTCTCCTACTCCCATAGCCAGAGCGCATGAAAGTTGCCCAGAATATCTCAATGGTACTTTTTTGCGCTATGCGAGTTTTCGTACGGAGCGAACTTTGCGCAGGTGTGAACAAGCTACATTGGAATGAGTTTGTTTTTATGTTTTGCGCGAAGATTTACGCTATATCCCGTGTGTGCTGGTGATTTACTGTAAACACTTTAGAATCTTAAGCAGTTGCTCATAGCAACCAATCAGCTTCTATCTTTTCAAAGCTTAACTAAAACTGAAAAAGCTGATTGGTTGCCAGGGACAGCTGCTGATTTAGTTTTACTAACCCCCCCCTCCATATATACCATAATCTCGTGCGTTGTTATTATTATTTGTTTTTTTTTACACAGACATGGAAGCACTACCTGTAGAGGGTAAAGAAAAGTCCAGGAAGGTGTGTTTTATCACAATGTCACAAGTATCATGTACTTTTCTCGGAAGTGTAATGACATCACAGAAGAGGAACACGCTGTCCTGCACACACCCATGACGTCAGCACACAGGGTGCGCAGAGAGGTTGGTGACAGGTCCCGCCGTCTGATCAGGAGGCGGTGGTATTATACTATTCTCAGAATTTCATGAATGGAAGTAAAGGGACGCCGTCAGCCAATCAGCTGGGAGAAGGCATCTAGTTGTGGGCTTTACACAAAAGCTGAAAGTGACAAGTCATGAAAGGCAGCGCGCTCCGCCAGAGCTCGCCCAGCGTGCACACATCGGGTCTGATCAATCAGGAGGTGATCAGTGGGGGGAGTGGTCTCCTGCCGTTATATGGAGTGATCCCATCCTCTGTTCGTCGTCTTAGTATGGAAGATCAGCTGCTGGAGGAGAGCCGGACTCTGCTGGAGGATTATCTTCGGCGCTGTGCGGGTGAGGAATGTCAGCCTCCTCCGACCCCGGTAGCGCAGACTCTCTGGAGGGTGTCGGGGGAGATTCTCCATCGGAATCGCGACTTCTATGAATCGTGCGAGCAGCTTCCAGGAGATTCCCGGACTACACTGGAGCAAGTGGCCGCCCGGCTCCCAGAAGAAGGAGGACTCAACTGGGGCCGGGTGATCGGGCTCATCACCTTCGCTGGAGTCGTCCTGAGGAGACAAGGGGAGCACAAGCCAGCCACCCCCAATGAACTGGCTGAGGTGCTGAGCCGATTCCTGGTGGTGGAGCACCGAGACTGGTTCCAGAAGAACGGAAAATGGGTAAATCACCTTTTTATTGTATCACTGCTGATCTATTCAATGTACGTATGGTGTATGCTGATCCATTCAATGTACGTATGGTGTATGCTGATCCATTCAATGTACGTATGGTGTATGCTGATCCATTCAATGTACGTATGGAGTGCACATTTTGTTGTGATCGGGCTCATCACCTTCGCTGGAGTCGTCCTGAGGAGACAAGGGGAGCACAAGCCAGCCACCCCCAATGAACTGGCTGAGGTGCTGAGCCGATTCCTGGTGGTGGAGCACCGAGACTGGTTCCAGAAGAACGGAAAATGGGTAAATCACCTTTTTATTGTATCACTGCTGATCTATTCAATGTACGTATGGTGTATGCTGATCCATTCAATGTACGTATGGTGTATGCTGATCCATTCAATGTACGTATGGTGTATGCTGATCCATTCAATGTACGTATGGTGTATGCTGATCCATTCAATGTACGTATGGTGTATGCTGATCCATTCAATGTACGTATGGAGTGCACATTTTGTATGAGATCCGCTCTGCACATCCCATTTCTCATTCAATAGACTGTCACCCCCCTCCATGGCAGTAGCTTGGATTCAGTGGCTGTATGACAGCCCAGGTCTGAACAATGCTCAGCGCCTTCCTGCTTCTACAACATTCTAGATGAGGTTGTGGGTGGAAGCTCAGGGTTTTCCATCTGCTCAATGGCTGGCCTGTGTGCTGGCTGAGTCATAGGCAAAGCATTTCTGCTGGAAATTGCTTCCCCTGACTGCAATCTAGAAATCTTCTTTCATTTGGGAAGACATGCCTTCTGGAAATGGACTTTGAATTGGATATAAAGCCACCTATGATTAGTTATGTGCCGTAACCCTTTACAGTTGCTAAGAGATGATGTTTTAGAAGCTTAAAAGGGAAGTAAACTGGCGGATTGAATCCAAAATGATGGGAGGTTTTTGTCATGTGCCAGTATACTCTGCATTATTGTACGTTTATGGGGGACTTCCCTAGCAAGGCACTCTCTTCCAGCACTCCCCTGCATCACCAGTGCTACCATATTCTCCCAGTGTCCTGGGTTTAGAGTCTTCGGCCACTTGATTGGCTGGGCCCAGATATCTGTTCTGACTTAGAACCTCACAATCAACTTTTTAATATGAGGACCGAGGTAAATCTATCCAACCAATTTGTGTGCAGGCAATAGTGGTGGGTAGCTGTAATGGTAACGTGTGTGTGTGTGTGTGTGTGTGGTGTGAGCTTTAGTACAGTACATGCTGAGATTGTACCCTGAGCTGCACATGCGTAGCTCAGTGTACACTAATAGCAAAAAGTGATGCTGGGCAGGTAGAAACATCTGTAACAATGTAGACATACACTGTCTTTTCTGTAATGAGAAAAAGCACCAGCCTGACGGCACATTTAAAAAAAGTTATTACATCGATCACCAAAATGTCATATTCGCTTTAACCTGTTAACACTGGGTGGTTCTGCCACAAAGGTCCTTGCTCAGTCACTTCCTGTTATAGGGTGATCATGCTCTCTCCCAATTGTGCTCTTGCACTGTCACCCTGTCATGTGACAATGACATTGCACATGCATGTTCAACTGTTGTCACCATCAGAATTGTACAGTAAATGCTGCCTTTTGTAAGGAGCATGTAGACAAAGTGGCTGTGAATAGACTGAAGGAGATCAGCAGGACTGAGATGCAACAAAGGATGAGAGTGGGGGGGCGGGGGGGGGG